TATAGTTCTTTGTTACCATGAAGGTCAAATGGAAATACAGACCAATGTGGCAATGGGTGACTGGTTTCAGACAAATACAAAAGATGCAGCGAAGGAAGATAAAACTATTTAGCAAAAGTCCCTAAGATTTACTTTGTAAGTACATCTTTAAACTTTTTAAGTTCTTTTGCTTTGCTTGGTGTTTTTTTTGTTTGTTTCTTTGTTTGTTTGTTTGTTTGTTTGTTTGTTTTTTCGGTTTCGTTTGTTTGATTGTTGTTTAATAACAAAAGGAGTAACACTGTCTCGTCTCAGGGTTTGAGATGAAGATATCTGTTTCAAAAAGAATAGGGTCTACGAATGTCATGTCTGAGGGAAATCTGATCTTGTGTAGAAGTAAGTAGAAATAATCATGTTTAAATGATTTGGCGTGGTTTGTTTTGTGTTGTTTTGTATTGTATTTTTATTTACGAACTTGTTTACCAAAATTCATGTTATTGTTCATTAGGTGGACGGTGAGTATTTTTTGTTGTTAACAGCCGGGGTGTTACGTTCAGGTAAAAGATGACACATTGAAACTTACGTCGTTTTCCAAATAAATGTTTACGTTTGCCTCATTCCAGTAGTTACCATGGTTTCCGGACGCATTGAATACTACCAAGTTTCCACTGAAGACAGTAAGAGTCCCCATGGTACCTCCATACATGTGATAATAGAACTTTAGACAAGACAGCTGTTTATTGTCAGATACTGATAAAATAAGCTTTGCGTTATCACCGGCGACTCGGGGAGAAGACGTCTCGATGTACATATAGTATCCTGCGAAAATAGAAATCACTTTTTGTTTAACACTTTCAAAAGACCATAGATCCCGTTAACGTTAAAATGAATACGAATCAAGTAATGTTTTCAAGAGCATTTTAAAGTTCATGGATATAAGTTATTGAGGTAGCGTCAGGTCCATTTTGGAGAAATATTGGTCGACTTCTTTGTTTGTAGGTTTAGGAAACAAGCCGCAAAAGAGGTCCATGAAATTGCAAAAATACGGAACCAACAAGCTAGTTCAACAAAGTGTTGATTAAATCCTTTTCATCTGCTGATAAATTGATGTGCCTCTACGATCCATTCTCGTTAAACTCGCGACAGATAAGCACTTCTTTATGCTTCTCACGTCGCTTTTTTGAACATTTCACTGTCATTGTCCTACTAACACGAAGTAGAAGGGATTTATGTTTCATGGTTCATTCAAGAAATGTTATTTTGTGCCATGAATTGATAAAGCAATTCGCCGAAATTAATTCGTTTGCGGTCCATCTGAGCAGTCCATATTGCAAAATTCGGACCACTAAGAAAACCTCAATCAGAATTATCCTTTTCATCGTGGACCAGTTCAGCCATAAAATGAGAATGCATATCTCACCTGACCCACTAGTATGATCTTGATCGGGGCCTGTACTAGAAGATAGTGTTGATCCATAATGTCGCGTCCAGTTAAAGATGTCTGAGTTGGACTGTCGCCAGCCAGAGCACAGTCCATAATCGAAGTCACATGAAGCGATTGCGGGAACGGTTGCTGTAACGGCAAAAATACAGTCATCTGGTTGATTTGCTCGCAATATCATGACCAACTCAAAGCCACTCAGAACTTATATTTCACCCGCGAAAGTGAACGGAGGATTCAGCTGTTGCGTTTCTGTCTATGCTTTCATGAAGTGTAAGATCACACAAAAGCTATACTGCATTGATAATTTGCTATAGAAATCAATAGAGTGGTCAGATTTAGTCCCTAGATTTAGACTGGTGGTGCGTTCATCTTGATCAAGTGAATTACAAACTTCTATCAGGTGGACACTATTTATTTAGTTATTGAGGAAGCCAACACAAGCTTGAACAAAGCATTTTTCTGACTTTCGCGTACTCTCCGTTGCCAACCAGCAGTTTTACAACTCTACAGGTTTTGATAGTGTTAAGAACAGTTATTTCAAATCCATCATGCATTCACGCATTCATGCATTAATCCATTTATCCATTCTTTCAATCACTTTTTTACTTATTTATATATAAAGTAGGTTAAAGTAACAGTACTTGGTAATATAGTCGGTGGTAGAGTTGGAGGAGCAGTTTGCCCAAGGCAACTTCCACTGCTTATTGAAACATCATCAATGGCTATGTCACCAGTGTAGGAAGATCCTGCTATTCCTTCAAATGTGATCTATGAAGAAAATACGGACGATAACATTTAATTTTCAGCACTTATGCTAGCAAAAAAATAAAAATTATTGTAAGCAATCAAAATAAAACAACAACCGGCACGAGTACACCAAACCGTCCTTTTGCCAGATTTTGAGAGCTTCAAGAAGTTAACGTGAAGTAGTAATAGTTGCAGGGTGATCGTTATCATAGAAAAAAAAAAGCCCTGTTGGTGTTGATATTAGTCACTAACAACATTCCTTTTAGACTAAACTCGGCCAGTCAACCACATGTTTTTTTTTTCTGAAAGCAGGAATTTTCCCCACCAAACTCGCTATAAAGCTCAACAAATTCACCTAGAAACACAGTGCCCACACCTTTTTAACTCTCGCACATACAAGCAAACTAGGATCCTACCGTATTAAAAGGAAGGGGAATGGAGCCCCTCCGGGCTTTTAATATATATGAAGAGACATTTTTATTTTTAATAGATAGCTCTTGGTTTGCCCTACCAGACGACATATTTTTCGTTGGTAGTGATATCAAGTGATGTCACGTGACTTTATTAAGTTCGCCATCTTCACTATATATTTTATCAGAAAGTCAGAAAATCATGTTAACGGATAGAAAATCAGTGCGAAGTGATAATGGGGCGTAGAAAAGTACTAATTTTGTAACGCTGCTCAAGAAAAGTCGAAGAATGAGGGATTTTGTCAAAAAGACAAAATTTCGGCCTGGCCTGTATGTCCAAATGTGGTTGACATGGCAATGTGAACTGACGCGCAAAAATTATCGACACAAACAATTTGGCCCGGGACAAATGGTCAACTGCGGAGATCCTCATCGTCGTACATAAATAGCTTTCTATTCTTTTTATTTTTTAATTAAAAAAAAAAAAAAAAAAAA